TCTCCATTGCGTTCGCTTCTCTGCTAGAGTCTTCACCTGGCTCCAAGTCTGCCCACATGCTTTCATCTCCTCTTCACATCACCTCCTCCAAGTCATCCACCCTCGCACTGACGACCAACTCGCCGCTTCCCATTCCGTCGGGTTCCACTCGAGCGATGGCTTGTCTAGTGATGTCACTCACTTGATGGTTTGTTTCCTCAGAGTATGGCCACAATCCAATCCATCTCCATTTCTTCCTGCCTATTTGTTTCACAATCGGTTCCTGCTGTGTTGGTTGGTTCGCTCATTGCCAGAGATCCCACCCTGTTGCTGATCTTTTCTGGCCAGCCGGCCATCTGATCTTGAGTGGTATTGAGCGAAGACAACTGGCTGTTAATGAAGGTCTGTAGTTTGTTTGAGATGCTCTTTATGACGCGCGGTGCAAGTCTCTGATCCGTATATCAAGTGGCACTGACTGACTTCACATTGGAGTTGAAAATCCGGATCTTATTTTTTTCATGCTGAGTGCTGAGGGCAGTTCATTTCCTCCTCACAGACTTGAGAGAAATGAAAGCTTGTCTTGCTTTCCCTATCCTTGCTGCTTTGATATCCTCGTCAGTAGTGTCCGCCTGTAGTTGAAACGATGCTTCCCAAGTAGGTGGGTAGGTGAAGGATGTTGTTTCTTTCAAGTTCCTCTCATTTATGCCGGCTGATCGTTGTCTGTTGTTGTTGTTCTTGTCCAGGAATCTTCATCACCACAGCTGTTTTCTCTATATTCACCTGAAGTGAAGTCCTATCTTCTCTGGATGCTTCTTCTGCCAACTTGTTGCTTTTCACGGTTTTACTCTTGTGTGGGTGTACATATGTGTGTACATAAATGAACAGCTAGATTTATCTTTGACAATTTGTAAATTAAAGCAGACAAGGAAACAAGCGAGCGAGCGAGCGTAGACAACTGTTCAATTCAGAGAAATAATCTATCGTGATCATTATATGCCTTACTACTTACTTACTTACTACCTACTATACCTACAATTATCATTTTCACTATATAGTCGCGTGTAACCATTGTCATTATTGTTATTATCATTATTATTATTATAATTCTTTGTTGCAGTTGTTGTGTTGTGATTATTATTTTCAATTAATTCTTCTGAATGTTATTTTTTAGTGTAAATGACGGTTAATCACGTCTGCACATCTCTTCACTGCTTACTGATGATAACATATTAAAATCGTCTCTCGCTCATAATAACAATATGATAATGATAACAATAGTGAGTGAGTACTGTTGGTAATTATTGCATGCGCACACTAAAACAGGAGCATTTTCGTTAAAAATTATGCTCTTATTTCATTGTAAAAGAGAAATTAATTCATTAATTAATTAATTAACTAATGGTGATGATATATATTCATACATTTTTTTCTCTCTAAAAATAATTACACAGTAATAGAAATGGTCGTATTAATTAATTAATTAATTAGCCTGAACACGCATTTATAAATCGGGCAGGCAGTATTAGAACTATGATGGACATTGTTTTTGTTGGTTTCGTTAAAAGCCTCTGATGGTGTTTGTTGGTGTTGTTGTAATCATGAAATTGGATATTTTTTCATCTCATAAAAAATTATTCGACTAAAAATTGTCTCCCAGTGAGTGTTTTTAAGCCATTTTAACCAGTCATAGAAAAATAGTGTCCTTTCGGTGTTGTTGCCGTTCCACTGATTATAGGAATTGAACTGAACTGGACTGTTGACTCCTTCCTTACCAACTGTAAATGCCTAAGGTTAGGTAGTGTGCATTCCTATATGTGTAAAACTTGGGCACTGTGGTGGTGGTAGTAAGTTATTCCACATTAGTTTGTTTATTAGATGTATCACACAGTGAAACAGTATTGGTATTTACTGGATGACACAGTTTCGAACAAAATTTATTACTGTTCATAATCATTTCATCAATTGTAATCACACGACTTTGACACTTGAGTTTCATAGTTTTCTTTGTTCTCTCCTATTTGTCGTCGTTGAAATGGTACAATTTTCCAGATATCTGGGGACAAGTGATGATTCATTCCTATTACACGTATTTGCAGTTGATTCGATAAACAAAGCTTCCGTTGTTATCAATCTCTCCCTCCATCCACCCTGTGACATTAGATTTTAAAACTGTCATCCTATCCCATCCAGCCTATTGTATGGTTGTGTGTAACTGCATGTAGTGCTACAGCTGAACTATTCTCTAGATTTCTTATCTTATTCGGGTCAACCAATCTAGATTTTGCTGCTAGGTTTTTATGTTCGGCTAGTCTGACTCACTGACCCTGTTCTACTACTTTGACCTATGTACTTGACCTGACAATCATCGCAGGCCAGGGTATTGGATAAACTAAATTCTTTGGTTTTCACGGCTCTACAGGATCCTTTAACCGACAAAGCTTGTTTCTAATTGAGTTTGTGGGTTTGAATGCCATTTTTATTCCTGCCTTGTTAAGAATTCTGCGTAAGGCTTCCAACGTTTCTTCCTTGTATGGAATTACTACTGATGATTTAGATTCTTTATTGTTGGTGTCGTCATTAATATTACTATTATTATTACTATTATCATTATCATTATTATTGTTATTATCACTATCGCTACTATCATTATTTATTTTATTTTTACATTTCCTTACATATTTCTTGACTAATTTATCCGGGTAATTATTAAGTTTCAAGCCTTCTCTCATATGCCTAACTTCCCACCGTAGATTTTCCTTGGTAATACTTAGATTTTGTGCTCTATTGTCAACTAAACATTTCACCAGTCCTATTTTAACTGACATAGGATGGGATGATCGGCAGTCCAAATATCTGTTTGAGTGTGTGGGTTTCCTGTAAACACACTAGTGTGTTTAACTTCCCATCTTCTTTCCTCTTTACGTTGCAATCTAACATTGGGAGCTCCCCTTCCTGATTTTCCAATTCATCATAAGTGAATTGAATTGCTTCAACCTTCGAGTTGATGTGTTCGAAAAACCTATCTATATCTTGTGTTTTAAGTACAGTGAATGTGTGTCATCTACATACCTCCACCATACTTTTGTGGTGGGTGGGGGTGAATATTTCAATCGCCATGCTTTCCCACTTATCTATGAATGTATCTGCTACAACTGGGTATATTGGTGATCCCATGGCACTCGGGTATAACTCAACCCCTCCCCTTTCAGTTTATAAACTCTTGCATCCTACCTATTCTTCTTTATTGTTCACCCCTGCTTATTCCTTCCTGGTTTGCTTAAAAAGGACTTTGTCACAATTCGTAGAATGCTGAAGACTGTCAGTCAGTAGGGTGAGTGGTGTCCCAGTGGACTACATAGTTAACGTCGTTGTCGATAAGCACTTGACTTCGTGCAGTAAATTTGCTAAAGGGAATTTGTCTGACTTGGAGCATCCACCACAGCACCCTCAGCTTTCACCTTGCATCTCCTCAGGTAGAACAAGAAGTAACTTCAGAAAACTGTATGCTCGCACGTCTAAGTATAAAAATTCTATGATGCCATACCTGGCACGTATTTTATGTGATGAAAATAATGTCAGGCAAGAATTAACTAACCATTTTTCATCTGGTAAATAAACAATTTCCTCCATCCATCAATCCTTATATGCCTTCAAGTTTTACTCTTATTTTTCTTATAATATTATTTATGGTCCTGTTGCTTCTTCGTTTTACTCTCTTAATTCCAAACACCAACTTATCTCTATGACTGCTGTGATCGTTGTTTTTCCCCTCACCATATCATGTAGAGAGAACATTATATTCAATGTGTTTCTAACCATGCTAGGATTTCTATACCGCATCGAACAATACTGTGTGAAAGAAGCCCACGGCAATTTTCATTTGCATTAATCTTATTATTACCTGAGCTGTTATCATTACTATTTTTTCTATTTTATATGCTGCTTACTTTTGAAATTACCTCGATTGTAAATGTGGAAAATTGTCTGTGTGATTAATTTTATTTATAATAGGAGGAAATTAGATGTAAGATATTGTGATCATCAATGCTGAAAATTCCATTCTGTATCACAAGTACTGATTTTGGAATAAAGTAAATTATTATTACTGTTATTATTATTATAGTGGCCGCATAATAAATAGAGATACTTGGATTCACTTGTTGGTAAAGTGGATCTTGTCAAAGTTGAAATACTTATGCATAGATGAAATTCTACGCCTATATAACCTGTCGTGTTTAACTAACCCCCAAAGACACACTACCACTTCGATGACCTTCTTACAGTCGAAAGAGTGATTTCTGCCTCTAACAGCTCGTCTCATAAGCGATTTGACGCGGTATAACACACAGACCACGTCGTTTACTGTTTTCAGTCACACTATCATTGGTCACGATAAGCCAAAAAAAACTGTGTAATTTTATCTACCGGCAACTCACCATCTCTTAGTCCTTCGAGTTATATTAAGGTTATGCAACACACAGAAGGATTAAGCTTCTAAGCAGTCTCCACCTTTTATTATTATTATTATATAGGCACAGTCATTAAAAGTTTTATAAAATGAAGTAGTAGGCAACTTTACTACTGAATTGACGCAAGTAGTTTGGAATTCATAGGTAGATTTCACAATGTATATTCATTCAGTAAAGGCAATTTCTACAAAAAGCATTTGTAAATAGAACGCAGAACTGACTTCATTTTTTTCTCAACAATAAATAAGCGAGAGCCCCCCCCAACCCCAAAACGACGACTCAAGTTAGAAGTAATAGAATTCTTTTAATTAAAATAATCATTTTCTCGTTTTTTGTGTACACTTTTCATCTTCGCAAACCATATATATTTATATGTACATAGAGATATAATGTTTATTTATGTGAAATATGATTCTGTGTAGAATGTGTTAGTAGAAGGGTGGGGAATCTTCACTTACATACATATATATCAAGAAAGTAAGGCTGTTTGTGTCAGTCTCCTTATAAGAAAAAAAGGGGGGGGGTAATTCTATTGAAACACAATAATTGGTATTACTTAATATCGCATAGTATTGCAACACCTCGAAGAACCCAATGATCTGATGTCTTTGTACAGCCTAAATCCACACTGGCTACATACGTTAAATCAGTACGCCGTGGTTTACGGTAAATAGGGCATGAATAAACTTGCTTCGGCATATCACCCTTGGCTTCACCACCCCCAGCACCCGCAGCACCACCACCACCACCGCCGCCGCCACCACCACCTCCACCTTGACGTTTCGGTGCTATCGTCTCTTGTACAGCGAAAATATTAATAACAGACATTGCATCGTAGAGAATTTTCGATTTCGCCTCAACCAGACGTGATGTCCGCCTATCCCAAGCTGCACCTTCCAAGTACAGACCGTAAACATAGACACCGCCTTCCGGAGGTGGTTCTTTCAAGTCTTCTGCATTCGATCGTGTCATTTTACTCGCTAACACAACACTGTCCAATGACCAACCTTCATGCATACGACTGATCTCTTGACGCATAGCGGTTAAGAATCCCTGAGGATTAAAGAATCCTGTCATCCAGAAACAAACAGGTCGCCCATTTTCTAGCCAATTACTGAATTGTGTATTCCGTTCAACTAATTCTGTGAACCAAAAACCTAAAGTTGATGAATCCCAAGAACTCTAAATGAAAATAAAGTGTAAAGTGGTATAAAAAACAAACAAAAAAAAGTTATTTTAAATAATTAATGTATATATTCAATGATATGCATTGTTTAAATTACTCTTAGAAACCTTTCTAGTTTGAAATTCAGCTCTTCATGATCTAGTGTCTGAGCAAAATCACGTTTGTGACGTTCAAAATTATGCTTACTACATCCAAAATACTGATTAAAACGCCAGTGCGTGCGTTTTGTATGCATCCAGTTGAAAAGTCCCCGAAAAGTGATTAAACTCAGGTCTTATGATTTAACACTAGCGCCCCTGTCACACTAATAATACTATTCGGCTTTAACATGCTTAGTTTATGACAGCTTTTGATATGGTTGTGTTCTCTGAGCTGGATAGTTAATTTGCGAAGCTTTCACCACCCTACTAGGCAACATCTTCAGCGCATACTTCAATTTGAATTGAAGTGAGCTTTTCGATTTCTCCACGAGTTTATTAATCATCTCTCCTGGTGACTTTGGACTTGCTTGGTTGTTTTTGTGTGTTTTCACACCTTCTAGGTTATTTGTATTGTAATTCATTGTTTCTTTGACTTGAGCTTTGACCCTTTGTGTGTGTGAGGTTTCCTTCTTATCGGTTGATAAATTTTGTCTATCTCGATTTATCTGTTGATTGATGACTCATTGGAATACAAGGTAGGCTTCTAAAAATTCTCTGGCTAGCATTCTTGTTGTTTCCTCTGTCTAATATTTGAACGTTGTCCCAGCTGAATTGATGTCCGTGGTTGTCCGTACGTAGTGATATGAGGGAGTGGATATCATGTGGATATGAAGACGAAGGGGACGTCCACTTTGGCCGATGTAGTGTGGACGTCACTTCCATTATATTTGTTTTTGTTTTGGTAAGCATAAAGAATAGTGGCCACGGAGTGCTAACGCATCACTGACATTGAACTAAGAGGGTTCGTTAGATTACACAACCTGCCGTGCATTCTACATCAAAAGGCCATTTATGTGCGGGAAAAAGTAATGTAATATAATGGGGAAACACTCTAAAGACGATACTTTACCTTGACACAACTGAAAAAAAAATAGTTCCCATCCAGTTACAATGATGGATATCAGTTTTCAAGCTGCATAGCTGTCGAAAGAGTTTCATCCATATGGAAAACGAAATATTCTCCACCCATATATATATATATATATTTACAAGAAAAGTACGGACAATAATGAAACACCCTGACCCTAATAATTACTTTAACCGTAATCCCTACCCTAACCCTAATTGTTATTTGCCTGCGTTTCGAGGGGGACATAGGGATTCGACTACACATCTCCACTTTGTTCTATTTTCTACCGTCCTCTTCAGCAGGGTCCACGATTGACCAAACTCTCTCATCTCTTCCTCGCACGATCTCCACCATGTCACCCTCGCACTGACGACTCACTCGTCGCTTCCCAATGGGATTCCACTCGTACGATGGCCTGGGGCGCGATGTCATTCGACGGCCTCCTCAATGGATACCCGATCAATCCATCTCCACTTTCTCCTACATATTTTTTGAGTGGTCGGCTCTTGGTTGGTTTGTTCTCATAGTTTCTTGTTGCTTATTCTTCCTGGCCACCTGGCCATTTGATCTTCAGTATGGAGCCAGCCAGCGAAGGTGGCAGCTGTTGACAAAAGTCAGCAGCAGGCTGTCGGAAATCCTTTTCGTGATGCACACTCAGTGCAAGTTTCTGACCCATATAGACGGATCGAATTCCCATTTTTGTTAAAAATCCAAATCCTTTTCTTTATGTTCAGAGATTGCAGAAGATTTCCAAACCGGTTTTAGGTTGATGAAGGCGTATCTTGCCTGGCTGGCTAGCTTTTACATCTTCATCCGTTCCGACTGCTTGTGGTTGAAACTGTGGTTCCTAGATAAGTGAAGGCAGAAAGTAACCTCTGTTATATCTCTCCCGTTGAAGATGATTCGTGCTGGTTGTTGATGTGGTTCGTTGGTTGGATATCTTAATCATCTCCGTCTTCTCTATGTTCACCTGGATGTAGTCTTGTCTTCGCTGCCAGCCAGCCTCTTCAGCCAGTTTCTTCGTTTTCGCTTAACCCTATACCTAACCAATACCCTACCCATAATATTTATCCTAATCCTAATGTGCTATCAACTCCATTGTCTAAACAGTACTTAAAAACGAGGTTGGGATGAAACCTGCACCTCGATTTGTGCTCAGCAGTTATACTGGAGCAGGCTGTGTAATCCGACTACTGACAACATGCGTTCAAGGCCATCAGTCGTCGCTATTCTCTAGGTTGGCCCTTCCTGTTCAATCAGAAAATAAAATCGCAGATATAGTATTTTGTGTCATTTCTAGTTAATTAGCAACCTAGTAACCTAACCAGTGACGCCGACATTTTCCTGGAGAAACTAGAAAATAATGGGCCTTTGAAAGATGTTATTAATGAACTCGAATTTTATTGTCGATACATGGATGATACTTTTTTGATTATGAAGAACGAAAAGGAAGCAAAAAACTGTTAATTCCTTTCCTACCTGTTCATTCTCAATCTTTCCTTTGTTCAACATTATACTACTTGCCATTAGTAAGTAGTATGACTTTTATATGTTAATTTATAACAATGACATTTGCTTACAACTGCAGTTAAATTACTTGTTCTATTATCATTCTATTAATGTATAGTTCTTATTTTTCTTCTCCTTAAACATTATTTTCTGACCTTACCCTATAGTGTATGCTTTACTATTGAAAGTTGTTTGTTCATATTTGTTTATTCTTTGCTTGGCATTCGCGGGCCGTTTGAACCGACACGTGGATCGACCTTCACACAGCATTGCTGTTTTTACTTATTGACTGCACAGTGGTTGTGCATTTGACGGCATTTAGCCACAGACACCTCACATTTTGAGGTTTGTATATTATATATCTATTTTTATGTAATAAAGTACCGTATTGCAGAATATCCTGTATTTCGGACTTTACGCGTCACTCTACGTGTGGTTAAATCTATAGTTTGGATTATAGTTTCGGATTTCTTTCGGGAGAAATTCACAAAAACATCCTGGATAAATTCAGTGAGGTACATCCTGCAATAAATTTTACTATTAAGAAAGAAAAAGACTCCTCTAGTATTTCATTTTTAGACTACGTCCTTATGACGAGAAAAGAGGACGGCACAATAAGAAGAAGAAGTATATATAGAAAACCTACATCAACAGGCCAGTACACACACTGTCTCAGCTTTGTGCCCTTGAAATACAAACGCAATCTAATAAAGTGCTTTGTCCGCCACAGAGCAAGAGAGATTTGCTCGGATGAATGTCTTGACGAGGAACTTAACAATATTAAACGGTTGCTCAGTGAGAATGGTTATCCCGAAAAGTTTATTGATAAGAATCTGAATCTGAAACCAAAACAACCCAAGTTACCAACAGTTCCGAGGCAAACGAAGGCCTTGTTCTTACAGATGCAGTTCCTAGGAGACAATACCAGTGAGATACTAACACAGCGCCTTAGAATTGAGGCGGTAAGAAGAGCATTCCTTGCTGCTCAATTACGCTGTATCTTTAAAACCACTCCTCTTCTGCGTTCGGGAATAAAAAACAAACTGCCTAATTTCGCCTCTTCCATGTGTGTGTATCTACCAATTTAACTGCTCCTGCTGTGGAGTGAGCCAGTTACTTCCTTGCATAGGCCGTACAATTAGGTGTGTTTCTCGTCGAATTTCCGAACATCAACCCCCCTGCACAGTGGTTGGTTAGTTAATTAAAGGACAAACAAAATCCATCTATTCGCAGCACTATTCTATCTCACTCATCATCTTGTGGATACACATCACAAGACTGATTGATGTTAACGAAGAGGCTTTCAGGGTCATTTACCGCATACCAACTAACAAATCTCAATTTCGCTTTCAGAGTTCGACTTCTAAATATTGCTGAGGCTGCGGGGATCCATATTAATAAGCCTTATTTATGCACCCAAAAGAAGTTAGTTCAGTCATTATCATTACCATGGCCATCCAGGTTTGAATGATCCTGAATTTTTGTGGAATTTTCCTAATTTTAGTTGATATTCGCTACTATATCTTTATTATTATTGTAATTTAAGCATCTTTAATGAACTGTGGTGATTCCATTGTGATCTTACTTTACAAATCGATATTACTATTTAAAAAGCATACTAATATTATTATTAACTACTAATTTAGAATATTCTATGTATATAAGCATGCATGTATATAATTGTAGAGCGAAAAGAGGAGGAATTTATCGAAACGAATATTCTTTGCTGTCTCAATTATTTTGTGTTTTATAAATACCTTGTCATCACTCAGTTACCTACCTGTTGACTAAAATTCACTTCACAAATATTGACACATTTATTTATGTATAATGTCAAAGTGATACACTACTAATAATGTGTAATTAGTTACCAATAGTTTAATCTGAGTAATAGTATAGTATGCATTATAGCAGGCATAGCAGGCCTTTGACAGCGTCGATTGAGAGGTGATTTGGAAACTACTTCGCTACTATGGGGTGCCACCGACAATTATACATCTCATCCAACATTTAGTTGAACGACAATGCTGCATGCCAAGTAATCCACAACGGGAAACTTACGGAATCCTTCTAAGAAGTGAGGACAGGAGTAAGACAAGCTGGCTGCCTGCCTACTATCGCCAATGATTTTCCTGATTGCAGTAGATTGGATAATGCGACAGACAGCGGGCAATGAGGAAACAGGCATAAAATGGACCCACAAAAAGAGACTTGGAGGATCTGCGTCTGGATTTCGCCGATGATATATGTCTGATTTCCCACAAACTGGAAAATATGCAAGCGAAAAGCAACAAGTTGGCAGAAGAAGCACCCAGAGAAGATGGGACTTCAGGTGACCATAGAGAAAACAGCTGTGGTGATGAAAATTCCTGGGCAACACCACCAACAGCCACAACAACAACAACAACATGACAACAATCAGCATAAATGGGAGGAACCTGGGAAGCATCGTCTCAACTACAGGCGGACACTACTGACGAGGATATCAAAGCAAGAATCGGAAAAGCAAGACAAGCTTTCACTACTCTCAAGTCTGTGTGGAGGTCAACAGACAGCACTCAGCATCAAAATGAAAATAAGATCCGGATTTTCAACTCCAATGTGAAGTCAGTCAGTGCTACTCACATCACGGATCAGAGACTTGGCCAGCGCGTCATAAAGAGCATCTCAAACAAACTACAGACCTTCATTAACAGCTAGTTGTCTTCGCTCAATACCACTCAAGATCAGATGGCCGGCTGGCCAGTGAGAAAAGATCAGCAACAGGGTGGGATCTCTGGCAATGAGCGAATCAACACAGCAGGAACCGATTGTGAAACAAATAGGCAGGAAGAAATGGAGATGGATTGGATTGTGGCCATACTCTGAGGAAACAAACCATCAAGTGAGTGACATCACTAGACAAGCCATTGCTCGAGTGGAACCCGAAAGGGAAGCGGCGAGTTGGTCATCAGTGCGAGGGTGGGTGACTTGGAGGAGGTCATGTGAAGAGGAGATGAAAACGTGTCTGATGGCAGACTTGGAGCCAGGTGAAGACTCTAGCAGAGAACAGAGCGCAATGGAGACTCACGACTGACGCCGTATGTTCCTCTAGGAATTAAAGGATACAATAATTATAATAATAATAAATAATAATATGAAACTTACTTACCCTAGTCCATACATTCGGTACACGTGCATCATATATACAATCTAATGCATCTTTCAATGTATCATTCATCACAACAGTTCCATCAATAGCTAATTTCAAATCAGTTAATATATTACCAACCAGCAGAATCACTTTATTAATTCGATCAACTTCTTGTCTTAAAAATATTGTCATTGGTTTCAATGGCCCCAATGCTTCAATTTGTTCAGCGACACGAAATTTCACATATGGTGGTGGTAATTTTGTCAACATATCTGTACACAATCGATGAACAACTGCCTCACGTGTTTCTACAACTACTGCAGCTGATTTACCAATGTCTGAAATATCACTGGAATCACTCGAGGTTTCTTTCGGTTGAATAGATAAAATCGTCGAGAGTATATAACTTGTTGTCTGTGAGGAATAAGTAATTTCAGCATTTGGATGTAGACCTAGAGCTTCTGGACTGTCTCTTTGTGGCAGATCATTGGTTACATAATAGAGGTATTCACTGGGTGTTGCGAATCTCGGGATAGGATAATTCGCCATTAATTCAAATTCTGGAGAGAACATACGTTCTTGGAAATAAGTGCGTGTCAGTGTGATCAGTAGACGTAGATCAAAGTCATCTGTTACCCGACCACCATACTGGATTTCACCAATCATATAACGAACACACTTCCAGTCAATTCCCTTCAAAAAAATAGAATAAAATAAAATAACATTTAAAACAAAAAAATTAATAATACTTCTTTAAGTATAATAAGAATAATTAAGGTGAACAAAATTCCATATGAGTTTGTTTATTAGATGTATCGCACAGTCAGTGAAACAGTATTATTGACGGGATGACACAGTTTCGAACAAAATTCATTATTCCTGTTCATAATCATTTCATCAATTATAATCACACGACTTCGAAGCTTGAGTTGGATGGTAAGAACCAAAGAAGGCTGGAGACATTCGTTGATATTGCTCAAAATCGTTCTCAATGACTAGCGCAGATGAATTCACTCTTCGTGATTTATCCTATCCATCCCATAAGATTCTATTGTTCTTCTATATAACTAACTATTCTTTTTGCCTCGTATTTCTGTTTATTATCTCTTGTCTGGATCTCTCACTTACTCTCTCCTCTTGGTTTGTATGATACATGGAGTGTGGTAACTCGAACGGCTGCATTCCTGTGCAAAGTTCTATGTTGAAAACAGTCAGTCACTGTTGCTATTCATGGCTGAATTCCCTAAGTGAATCGAAATGTCACTTTTAGCTTCAAAGTCTTGAAAGATGACTCACAAACTGATAATGAAATACATACTTGAGGATTAGACACCCTAGGTGCTTGGTGAGTAAACATGCACTTATTAGTTTGTTTATTAGATGTATCACACAGTCACACAAACAGTATTATTTAATGGATGACGTTTCGAACGCAATTCATCATTATTGCTGTTCCTAATCATTTCACCAATTATAATCACACGACTTCGAAACTTGACTTTTATAGTTTCACTTGTTCTCTCCTATTTGTCGTCGTTGGGGTTGTAGAATTTTCCAGATACCTGCGTCGACAGGTGTTGAATCATTCCTATTACACGTATTCTCTCTCAGTTGATTCGATAAACAAAGCTTCTGTTATCAATCTCTCCCTCCATCCACCCTGTGACATTAGATTTTAAAACTGTCATCCTTACAAGGGGATTTAAAAAGGGGTAGATTTTAAAACAGAGATACCCCGAAATCCCAAGAAAAAATTAAATGTATTTAATTAATGATATAATAATATTTAAATCCTCGTCATCCAGTAAATACTAATACTGTTTCACTCATTGACTGTGTGATACATCCATCTAATAAACAAACTAATATGTAATTACTTACTACCAGCACAGTGCCCAAGTTATACACATATTTAATTTATTTATTTTTTGATTACAGCTTGATACCACACCGTATTTTCGGTACAAGTATGGCATTTTCAGCATGGATATCGGTAGCCCAAATTTCGCTGGCCGACCATAGATATCGGGTGTGCGTCGGCAAGGGATCGAACCCCGGACCATGTGCATGGTCGGCGAGAGTCCTAACCACTGTGCCACCGACGCACATTATTATTAAGGTGAACAAAAGTATGCAAAGAAGGAGTACTAAATATAATATTAGGATAGAAAGCCAAACAGTCAAGCTAGGTAATCTTGCTAATCTCATGAAAAGCAAGAAACACAACATACTTTATGAGATAAAATAAGGATAATAGAATGTGACACGAGCTGAGACGCTTAGATTAGGTAGATAGTAAAATGCTGTATCCAGCTACCAATGGAAGTATCATGTGTCCTCGATTCCACTGCTAGTCATCATCTATCAAATTAGTTCAAGTGAATTCTCGGATAGCGTCGAAGCGTCTCTGTACTAAGTAGCGAAATGTCAACACAGACTGAATATTTCAGTCCAATAAAGCAACGGAAAAGCAGAAGCAATGGCGATACACTCGCTAAGTCCTGAACTCTGCATACAGAAGAAGTTCGTTCAATTAATACACACTTGCAATGGACGTAATCTATCTTATTACCCGATAAGTAAATTCTACCTTATCCTTTTCTCTTCTGTCTCTTCATTAGTATTATTTTGTCTTCTCAATTGTAATATTTTACATTTTAAACTTTCTTGTTCTCTACCCCCACCCGATTTAATTTCTACACTTCGTTACCACTGTTACTGACTTGACCAACGCTCAATTTCTAGTCATTTATGCTACGTCATCCAACTTATTTGCTCAATTCCACTTCTACTCATTCTCTAACTGTAATTACCTCTGTTGCTACCCTGATCTAAGTTGAAGCATTATAGTCAATTATATTACGTCGTCATCTAACTTACTAACTAACTCAATCTTACTTTAGTTGCTGTCTGATTAACTTTGTTTCTATATTAGATCATTCTTGTATTACCTACCTGATCAATTATCTAAACTTGACAAACCTCATGTACACACACACACACAAATAATTATATATCAATGCGATTGTACAGCTAACTATGTGAATGAATTCGCCGTCGAAAAGAGTCCCTTCGCTGAACGTCTTCTCTTTTTCAAACAACGGAAAAGTCAAAAATTGATTTAAACAAATATTAACTAATGCCCGTTGCGCAAGAGGTGGTTCTTGTAGCCGAATTGGTCTAGTGGATAAACCTTTGGAATTTGAAACGATGGGTACTGGGTTCGAGACCTAGTGAGAACATCACCACTTACTGGATGACGCATATACATCCGGATGACGGATCCAAAGTAGGACGAAATGCGAATCATAGATTCCATCTACTGAATGACATCTTATAAACAGAGAGGATGGAGGTGATTCTAAGCTGATATAAGTATAAAACTTGGGCACTGTGGTGGTAGAGTATAGATCGATTATGGGTAAGATTTTATTTTGATAAACTGTCACACAGTGTGTTATACAGTAATATTAACTGATGACCACATTTTGAGCACAAACTATTGCTCATAATCATATCAAGTTACTCACACAACGTTTTCCTTCATTTATATACATGAGTGAAATTGAGGATTAGATATTGGAATAAAATCAATATAGGATAAAGTGCATTCAGAATAATAATATGAGTGTTATCAATCAAGTACAATCAGATGGGAAAAAAGACGAGTGTTTTTATAGTCATAATAAGTTATTTGTTAGAATGTTGTGATTTGCTTGAATTGAAATAGAATTTTGAGATTATTTATTATCCTCTTCTGATTTAACTGACTGACTGACTGGCGGTAATAATATCTTCCATACATATCTCTGGTATTCGCATTGAGTCACTCCTATTTCATGTGTTGGGTGTAGACTTGATGAACCAGGCAGGATTCAGTAATCAACCTCTCTCCATCTTCATCTACATAGATTACTTCTTAGAACCTTAACCCTCTCCCACCATGCTATTGTGTGGTTGTTTGTTAATGCATGCAGTGCAATGTAGTGCTGAGCTGCCTTTCTAAATTACTTATCTTCTCGGGTGGGGTCAACCATTCTTACCTTAGCTAAATTCTTATGTTCCGACAATCTGATTACCCCCGATCTACTAGTTTGACCTATGTGGTTGACCTCACAGTCATTGCAAGGTATTTTGTAAATTATATTATTTGGTCTAATTGGGTCAACCAACAGGGTCCTTTAACCTACAGAGCTTGTCTCTGAGTGAGTTTGTAGGTTTGAATGTCACCATCCTAATTCCTGCTTTGTTATCGAGAATCCTACGTAGGGCCTCAGATGTCCCCTCCTTCCTTATATGGTATAACTGCTGTAGATGACTTATATTCTCTCTTATTTATGTTATCATCATTACTAGTTTCCCAATTATTTTTAATTTGCTTCTAAGTGTTGATAATCACACTACCTTTTACTGATATGGTGACTATTTCAGGTTTTGCGGAACTGGCCAATGCACCATTGTGACGGGTATCTAGAGAAACGTAACTTCCTTTCACAGTAAAATAAAATACTAGAATGCAGTAGGTTTTGAAATGACGAAGAAGCCGTGTAAACTTAATCGACTGTGCAAGGGGGAAGGAAGTAGACGATGAAGGCTATGGAGACAACTGTTAGGGGTATGTATACACAAACATGAAAAAAAATATTTCAGGTAAGCATCTATTTCACTTTTTTTCTATTATTATTATATTATTGTTTCCTTTAATTCCTAGAGGAACATAGGGCTTCAGCCGTGCGTCTCCATTGCGTTCGCTTCTCTGCTAGAGTCTTCACCTGGCTCCAAGTCTGCCCACACGTTTTCATCTCCTCTTCACATCACCTCCTCCAAGTCACCCTCACCCTCGCACTGACGACCAACTCGCCGCTTCCCATTCCATCGGGTTCCACTCGAGCAATGGCTTGTCTAGTGATGTCACTCACTTGATGGTTTGTTTCCTCAGAGTATGGCCACAATCCAATCCATCTCCATTTCTTCCTGCCTATTTGTTTCACAATCGGTTCCTGCTGTGTTGGTTCGCTCATTGCCAGAGATCCCACCCTGTTGCTGATCTTTTCTGGCCAGCCGGCCATCTGATCTTGAGTGGTATTGAGCGAAGACAACTGGCTGTTAATGAAGGTCTGTAGTTTGTTTGAGATGCTCTTTATGACGCGCTGGCCAAGTCTCTGATCCGTATAGCAAGTAGCACTGACTGACTTCACATTGGAGTTGAAAATCCGGATCTTATTTTCATTTTCATGCTGAGTGCTGTCTGTTGACCTCCACACAGACTTGAGAGTAGTGAAAGCTTGTCTTGCTTTCCCGATTCTTGCTTTGATATCCTCGTCAGTAGTGTCCGCCTGTAGTTGAAACGATGCTTCCCATGTTGGTAGGTAAAAGAGGTTGTTTCTACTACCTTGAACTTCTTATTTGTTATGTTTACTTCTAAAAAATATTCCAGAAACATATAAATATTTTTCTATAGTTTTGGTTTGTAAGGATTAGTTATGTTTTACGAGTTGATCACGGACTGATATCAGTTAGAGAACCATTGAAAACCAACACCGGAGTACTGGACAGCTGCTGTTTCATCCTAGTTTGGGAATCATCGGCAGTACGCACCCACTGGGATTCGAAACCAGGACCTTCCGGTTACAAGGCTAGCTCGTAGTGGGTGCGTACTGCCGATGATTCCCAAACTAGGATGAAACAGCAGCTGTCCAGTACTCCGGTGCTGGTTTTCAATGGTTCTCTAACTGATATCAGTCCGTGATCAAGTCGTATATAAATATCTGATCTGAAAATATCCTGTGTAAGAAAAAACTTTACTCTAAGAACTTACACTTATTTTTTGTGCTTTTTTGAACTCTATACTATCCAAATGATTCTGTATAAATTGAACACTTGCATTAAAATCAGACTGATTAAATTCATAAGGAATACTCCAACCCAGTGGACCAAATTTTCGTCTTTCTTGTGCTGTACAATGCAGATAAGCCAGGGCATATAGCATTACTTTCCAATGGAATGTTACACATGTGTCTAAGAAATCTTGAGTAACATCCGCGTAAGTTCGCCATAGATTTGCTTTTATACCTTCGGGTGGTTCATTTGTAAACTTTATAGCTGCTTGAAGAAAGTTTATGGAAAATCTTTTATGTTCTTCTGTGGTTACCCAAAGACGAAACCTATCATGGAACATTCCAGATGTATTAGTTCCTGGAGCTTCTCCACCTACGGCTCCAGTGCCTCCAGTTCCTCCAGTTGTTGTTGTTGCACCAGCACCCTCAGCAGCTGTTTCTCCACCAGCAGTAGTAGCTGCAGTTTGACCACTTGGCCCTCCACCGCTTCCACCACCGCCGCCGGCACTACTAATGGCTCCTGAGCCTTCACCAGACAGAAGAAGGAACAGCTCGTCAATATAATTCAAACATAGATGGCAATTTTGCAAGAGAACCCAACTTCCTTCTGCCATAGCCTGTTTTATTAATCTTCTGGCATGTATTTCTTGACCTTGACCCATGGAAACTGCATTAATTTCAATCTTTGCACGTCGTGCAGCTTGTTCAATGAGTGGAGTGGGATCAGCACCCATGCTAAGTAAGCCGACCAAAGGTGTTCGGCAGTCAGATTCGCTATGAATGCTGAAACAGAAACAGAAATAAGCTTAGCATTTGACCTAATATGACATTTTTGAAGTAATAAAAATGACCAACCAGATAAAAATGTATCTTATTTTGTTTTCAAGAATTCAGTTCAAAAACGCGGGAGAATCCAGGTTACTACACAAAAATACTTTATGTCATGCTAAAATTAAGTGGAAAAACTTAAAAATGTAAACTGCACTGCCTGACAACATACAAACACACGAATACTCACGAACAGACAGCAGTTAGACAAATCGCTGTAAGTGAGGAGATCAAGAGGCACTGGACACTGGTTTCGCACCAGTCTTTGAAAGTTGATGAATTGCCCATTCCATGTAGGCTTTTTGTATACGGATCTTTTCAAAGAGTTGTTGGCGTTTCTTGTCATCTGGACGTCGAGGAAGTGGAACATTCCGTCGGATTCAGTCTCAAGTGTAAAGTCGATGTTTGGGTGGGCGTTATTGAAGATTTGAAGTAGGTTTTTTAAATCACAATCCTCATCACAAATAATGAAAGTATCGTCGATGTACCTCTTGTAGAGATGGAGGTCGTTGATCGTTGATGATAAGGGGTTGTTTTCTAAGCTAGCCAAAAAGCAGTCGGCTAATAGGGGTCCTAAGGGAGAACCCATTGCTACTCTATCTACTTGCCTGTATATTTCCTTGTTGAAACTAAAGTATACGTTGAAGGTGCATCGTAGTAACAGTTCTTTTAGGTAATGGATCGGTATACCGACATCGATGCTATTGGATTGAATGTAGTCGCAAAGGAAACATACGGTTTCTGTCAATGGAACGTTGGTGAAGAGAGAGACAACATCAAGGGAGACCATTATCTTTTCTGCCACATTGACATTCTTAATTGAATCAACAAAGTCGAATGTGCTACGGAGGTTGTGTCTTGAAAGCTTCTCTTTCACCGGCCCGAGAATCTCCACCAGCCATTTCGCGATTGTATGATATGGGGAGTCTATCATATCTAGTATTGGGCGGAGTGGGACGTCTTGTTTGTGCACTTTAGGTAAGCCGTACATGCGCGGCGTTGTAGAACCAGATGGGCGCAATTGTTCGTATAGTTTTGAACTGATAATGGATTCGCCTTTCATTTTCTTCAATATGTTTGTTAACTGGAGCTCCGTCTGTTCGGTGGGATCTTTCTGTGGAGACTATTTCTGAAAATTTTTCTCATCAGATAGTATCACCGAGAGTTTGCTTAGGTAGTCTGATTTGTTCATCAAGACGATTCCGGAGCCTTTATCTGGTCGTGTGATGATCAAGTTTTCATTATCCTTCAATTCTTTCAGTTGCTTTCGATGCTCTTTGGAAAGTACGTTACGAAGGCTGGGTTTTTTGTTGATGTAATCGAGGCAGCAACTTAAAACGGTTGATTTGAAAAGGTCTGCATTCTCATATGAGATTGGGGTCAGATATTTCGTCTGGTCGATTAAATTCTCGAATTGGACTTTCGTGTTCAGTTCATTCACTTTTGACGTTGCATCACAAAACTTAGGTCCAAGTGCTAAGATTTGCATTTGAATTGGAGATAGTTTTTTATCCAAACATCCTGTATATTTTGTTATTTCTACATTTCTAACCCCCAATTGCACAATGTCAATCTTCTTAGTTATTATAATGCTACTTTATTCAAGTTTTATTCGCCCCCCCTGTTTATTATGGCATTCTAACTCCTAATTGTAATTTTTATTAATTTGACCCTTAACCGGAAATTATTCTGGAACTTTCCCATCCATTTGATATAAATACACGAATGTACAGCCTAGATGATGACTTCGTCGAAAAGAAAATTTTCTTCGCTGCAATTGTCTTTTTAATAACTCCTATGACCCAATGTGTATATACAAACACATTTATACAGCTTTTGAAAATGACTAAATGAAAAGAGAATTTTGTTTACTGCTATATATCTTTGTTCTCTTCCAAAACAACCCAGAAACTGGTGTTAGGAATCCTTATGATAAATTATAGGATTTTTCTTTGAGCCTTATATTTCAATACACCACTGGGACTTAAGGTTCTTTACACTAAGAAAAGGGTTATTAGAAAGTCTACAAAGACAGCGTATGGTCATATTACTGGTTTTCTGTCAGTATATATGACTCCATTGGCCATCTCCACTTTCGTATAAGGGCTTCTTGGACATATACCTCGATATTAGCGGAATTTAATAACTCAAAGTGACGGTGTCCAGCAGTGCAGTTCAGAACCTGCATTTCTTCCTGTTTTGGACTTATCAGCTTGATTTGTTTGCCACTGGGTGAGTGTTTTCTTTCCCATTGACACTCTAATCCAGTACTCATAAATTGAAACGACGAAAAGCAGTAAATTTCGGTGCAGCTACTATGGAGTTTTCAGCATGTGAAATCGGTAGCCCAAATATAGGCCGACCATTGATATCAGGTGTGCATCGGCTGGCGATCCAACCTTGGACATTATTCAAAGTTGGTGAGCGTCCTAACCTCTGTGCCATTTTACTGTAGTCACTACAAAATTTTCTAAAGAGAACCCCAAAAAAAGATTTTTGAGTATGGTATCTGTGAAATGAATGAAATGCCAATAATCGAAGTCTGAATATTGCTAGCCTTTTAGCTGAGACAGGGGAATCGTCTAACTTTGGCGCTGTGTTAATTAATATCACACAAAGCTGGCTAGTGTCGAGGAAAATCAGTGCGATTTCATCATCCGTCTTCCGTTGAAATCAGAAATCAAACTATAAAGATGATTACATTATTATTAGTGTTCCCTTGAGTTCCTAGTGGAATATAGGGCTTCAACCACACGTCTCAACTTGCTTCTGTCTTCTATTGTACTTTTCACCTGCATCCATGTGTTAGTCCATACTGTTTCAACTCCTCTTCACACAATCTCCTACATGTCACCCTTGGAGACACGACCGACTCGCCGCTTCCCTTTCGGGTTCCACTCGAGCTATGGCCTGACACGCGATGACATCAAACGGCCTACTCAGCGAGTGTCCAATCCATCTCCACTTTCTCCTGCATATTTGTTGAGCGATTGGTTCTTGTTTCCTTTGTTTGTTTGTTCCCATAGTTTCTTGTTGGTGATTCTTGTTCTTTCCGGCCATCTGATCTTCAGTATGATGCTAGCGAAGACAGTTGTCGTTGTTGATAAAGGTCTGCAACAGGCTGTTGGAAATATTCTTGGTGACCCGCCGCCAAGTTTCTGATCCATCCGTATAGAAGAACTGACTGACTTGACGTCGTTTGTATTGAAAATCCGAATTTTGTTGTTGAGTGTTGCTGAGTGACGAAGATTTCCAGATTGGTTTTGTAAGGTTGATGAATGTGTTTCTCGCCTTCCCGATTCTCGATTTGACATCCTCGTCCGTTGCACCTACCTGTAGTTGAGACAATGCTCCCTAGCTAGATAAGTGAATGAAGTAACCTCTTTCAAATCCCTCTCGTTGGTGGTGATTGGCGCTAGATGTTACTGCCATTGTTGTTGTTGTTGGTTGTTTATTTTCATAACCGCCGTCTTGTCTATGTTCACCTGGAGTCCTGTCTTCTCTGGCTGCTTCTTCGACCAGTTTGTCGGTTTTCGCTTGTAAGTTCTTCGATTTTGTGTGACATCAAACATAAATCATCCACGCGCGAAATCCAGGTCTTCTAGGTTTTAGGTTCACGTCGGTCCAGGATATCCCTGTCTTCTCGTTTCCCACTGTCGTCTGACGACGCATAATCCAGTCCAGTCCACCACAATTAGGAATATCATTGATTACTAGATTACTAGGTCACTAGTATTCTAGCCGATCCCAAGCCTGGATTAAGAGGGAGGGTTGGGGCTACAAAAAGTTCAACGCACAAATATACTAAAACTATAAAGATTACACAGGGATAACTCACACATCTAAATTGGTGACAACTTCTTCACAAAACGCTGGTCCCAAATTATGCATAATATACTTCCGAGCTTGTTGTAATGCACGATCAGGACACCATGAACGAATTAACAACAAACGACGAAAAACATCCAATGTATTGTCATAACCACACGGGATCACTTCTTCTTCCGGCGCTTCTTTATCAAACCATTGACGCCATTGTCTTTCAGAACCGGTTACTTGTGAAATGATATTGGTGAACTCGTTTAGCTTAGATAATGCGACTAAATTTAGCCATGTCATATCGGTTATCCATCTGCCTGGTTTCGGTGGCGCCAATTTGAGATCGAGTGCTGAACCACCCTTTTTTTGTAAGTGATAAAGAAGAACACACAATATAAAATGATGATGAAATGGCAGAGTATACACACAGTGTTTGTGCATTTCAACGAAAAAAACTTCATGCGTAAAATGTTACTCGTTTTTCTTACGAGCTGTTAACTCTCAGCTTGACTGCACTAAGATAAACAACTTTCTATCAGAAATTAGCAAATGGTCTTCGTCTAACGGCCTTAAACTTAATCCTTCCAAATGTCAGACTGTCAACTTCAGTTTCCGATGTAAACGAAAGTTAAATGAAGCTGTTGGTTCCTATGACCCTTGCAAAATCGATGATACTGATATAGAAAGCAAGTTTGAAGTTAAGTATCTTGGATTAATTCTCTCTTCTGACCTATCCTGGTCCTCTCATGTCTTAGCGATTTCTAAAAGAATATTTCGTTTGACTTTTTACATTAAGAAGTTGAGGCACTCAGGCATAACCCAACCACTCCTCTTACAGTTTATCAACTCGTGTATTTTAACTATTCTTCTTTACTGTTCACCCTTATTCTTTCCTGGATTGCTTAAAAAGGACTATGTCATACTTCGTAGAACTCTGAAGACTGTCAGTAGGACGAGTGGTATCCCATTGGGCCACATCGTTGGCATTGTCGTTGATAGGCACTTGATGTCATGCAACAAATTCGCTAGAGGAATTTTGTCAGACTCTGAGCACCCACTCTACCCGCAGCTCCAACCTTGTGTCTCCTCAGGTAAAACAAGAAGTCTTTTCAGAAGACTTTATGCACGTACGTCTAAGTATAAAAATTCCACTATACCATATTTAGCACGTACTTTATGTGATGAAAATAGTGTCAGAAATGAACTAACTAACTTTCTTTGCACTACCAAATAAAGCATTTCCTCTACCCTTAAAGCATCATTCTTTATTGTTCTTCTTATATTTATAATCCTCTCAATTTTTCGTTTTGTTTATTTTTTTTTCATAAGTGTGGTCATAATTTTAAGCTGTATTATGACTGTTAATTTTGTATTTCCCCTCACCATGCTGCTATATCAACAGAACATTAGATCCAATAATCTATAACATGCTAAAGTTTCCAAACTGAATCGACAATACCGTTTGAAACAAACTCACTGTTATTATTATTATTATATCTAATAATTATGTCGTAAATGTGGACAAATTCCTCCGATTAATTTTGTTTTAATTTTAAATTTTATATATATTTTGAGTAAATCAGATGCAAGGTGTTGTGACAAATACTGAGAATTCCATTCTGTATTATAAGTACTGTTTTTGGAATAAAGTTGTTTATTATTATTATTATTACTTTAACCAGCCGCATACTTCAGGAATAATTACAGGCCAAACAGTGTGATAAAATCAAGATGCATGTTATACGTCACATACCAAAGAATTACTCACTTAATCCTATTATAGCAAAAATATTCATTCAGACATCTATAAAACGCAAAATAATTGAGCCAGCAAAGAATATCCTTTTCGATAAATTCCTCCTCTTCTAGCTCTACAATTATATCTATATATGCATGTTTATATACATAGAATATTCTAGATTAGTAGTCAATAACAATATTAGTGTGTGCTTTTTAAATAATATCGATTTGTAAAGTAAGATCACAATGGAATCACCACAGTTCATTAAAGATCTTACTTTACAAATCGATATTATAATAACGATAATAAAGATATAGTAGCAAATAGAATATCAACTAAAATTAAGAAAATTCCACAAAAATTCAGGATCGATCATTGACACCTAGATGGCCAAGCGGGTAACGATTATGTCTGAACCAACCAACTTCTTTTGGACGCACAAATTAGGCTTGTTTATATGGATCCCAACGGCTAGCCAGCCATCTTCAGCAATATTTAGTAGTCGAACTCTTAAGGCGAAATTGAGATTTGTTGGTATGCGGTAAATGACCCTGAAAGCCTCTTCGTTAACATCAATCAGTCTTGTGATGTGTATCCACAAGATGAGTGAGATAGAATAGTGCTGCGAATAGATGGATTTTGTTTGTCCTTTAATTAACTAACCAACCACTGTGCAGGGTGGGTGATGTTCGGAAATTCGACGAGAAACACGCCTAATTGTGTACGGCCTATGCAAGTAAGTAACTGGCTCACTCCACAGCAGGAGCAGTTAAATTGGTAGATACACACACATGGAAGAGGTGAAACTAGCCAGTTTGTCTTTTACTCCCGAAAGCAACGAACATTACAACATTAACATGTTTGAAAGCGCATATTAGCATCAGTCAAAAAACACAGGCTTCTCCCCGTTACGCTGATCTCTAAATTAGAAACAGACTTATTTATTAGTTGAATGCATTAAAATACTTAAAACAGTCAAGATTAGACAGAATAATAGCAGTCGCCAGAGTGTAAATGTTATTGGGAAACTGTGATCCACAGGTTTAGCACACAGACTATAACCGATGAGTCGTTGATTCGAATTCTACTTCATACATACCTCAACCGTTTTTTCTTTTTGAGGGCCAAGTGAACTAAATGACTTCACATAACAGACCTGCTTAAGGAGGGTATTGTGTGTTGATTTTCACTCATAAAGAATGACTTGAGTGTGTTCTACCCTTATATAATGGGCCTAATTTTGCAGTTATCCTTTCAATAACATCTGACTCTCTAAACAAATTCACTTATTATTCTACTGAAGCGCTGTCCACGCTGTCATCATTCACTAGAGCACGTTGACCGCTTCACTTACTTGGGAAGTACCATCAGCCAGTGCCAACGGGTTGATCTCCGACGAAATCTCAGCACGAATACAGCGGGCTAGTTTCGCATATGCCAGTTTACGCCGTCTCTGGTTTAGTAGACGTGATATCCGACTGGCTATCGACCAAAGGGCGTGTGTACTGCTCAACAGTCCGCTCCGTCCTCCTTTATGGCTGGATGTGAGACCTGGCCATTGAGAGCGGAAGACATGAAAAGGCTGACTAGCTGTCTTCGATCATAGGTGCCTGCGTTCTATCTCCCGTGTGACGTGGTATGATAGGGTGAGCAATATTGAGGTTAGGCACCGGTCGAGTGCTAGGTAAGGCGGGGAAATCAGTCGACAAGACTGTGAAATTACATCGACTGAGATGGTTAGGACATGTGTTACGTATGCCTAGTCATCGCCTTCCTCGACAGTGTCCAATGTTAGCTGATATAGGATCAGATTGGAAAAGAGCTAGCGGTGGTCAAACCAAAACGTGGCCTCACCAGTCAATAAAATCCAAAACAGTTAGTCTAAGCCAGCCACGTAGGAAGGTGTAGACTGGCTTCCTGACTGGTTGTGGTCCTCGGGATGACGGTAAAAACCAATTACGGCTGGAAACAATTGGTGACATGGCTCAAAATCGTTCTCAATGGCTGGCTGGCTGGCGCAGATGCATCCACTCCTTGTGACATATGATTTCCAATGAAACTATATTGTTCTTCGTTATTACTATTCCTTTGTCTCACACCTCTGTTTACTGTCTCTCTCTATTATGCATTTCTCCTACTTTCTTCTCTTGCTTTGTGTGTTACATGGAGTGTGGCGACTTGAACTGCCGCACATATGTGCAAAGTTCTATGTCGAAAACCGACCGACCGACCGAATTTCAGTTCTGAAAAGTGCTAAGAATTCCACTCACATTTTATTCTCATTCATCACACTTGTAAAACTTATCACAAATACTGAACTTAATGCAGCTGCAGTTAAGTTGGTTCTGTTGGTTATCAGACAACATGCTCATTGGTGCAGTCAAAAAGTTGACAGATACACCCCTGTCTCACGTAAACAACTCCAACTATGTATACAAACTTACATGTGTGGCTGCTGTGTAGCAGTTACTTCGGGCGAACAGAAAGAAGAAGGGTATACCTTCAATATTCTGAAAATGTACTAAACGGCCTACGGCTTTCAAGAATGCTGTTGTCACGCATCTCCTTGATGCGGGTCGTGAGGTGGTGGTCGTTGCAAGATCATTCAAAATTATCAATAGTCGAAAGAGTTTAGTCCTCCTCACGTATACCGAAGTAACCAAAATTATGAGTTCGAAAAGATACGGTTATCAGTTTTTTCTTGCCCTGGAAAAGTGGATGTCTTCATCCTCCCTTCCCTCTGATGATTACCTAACGCTGGATAAAGTGATTGTGATTATTAATACCAATGTACTACTCGACTACTACGGCGTACCCCAAATATTCATCAACCTTATTCAACAGCTATTCGACAACGGCATATGTCAAGTGATCCACAACGGAAAACTCAGCGAGGCGTTTGGAGGAAACACAGGAGTCAGACAAGGGTGCTTATTATCACCAATGATATTCCTAATTGTGGTGGACTGGACTGGATTATGCGTCGTCAGACGACAGTGGGAAACGAGAAGACAGGGATATCCTGGACCACCGACGTGAAGAACCTAGAAGACCTGGATTTCGCGCGTGGATGATTTATGTTTGATGTCAAACAAAATCAAAGACTTACTTACAAGCGAAAACCAACTAACTGGTCGAAAAAGCAGCAAAGACAGGACTCCAGGTGAACATAGACAAGACGGAGGTTATGAAAATAACCAATTAACCAACAACAACAACAGTGGCAGCAACATCCAGCGCCAATCACCAGCACCAACGAGAGCGATTTGAAAGAGGTTACTTCATTCACTTATCTAGCTAGGGAGCATTGTCTCAACTACAGGTAGGTGGAACGGACGAGGATGTCAAATCGAGAATCAGGAAGGCGAGAAACACATTCATCAACCTTACAAAACCAATCTGGAAATCTTCGTCACTCAGCAACATTCAACAACAAAATTCGGATTTTCAATACAAACGACGTCAAGTCAGTCAGTTCTTCTATACGGATGGATCAGAAACTTGGCGGCGGGTCACCAAGAATATTTCCAACAGCCTGTTGCAGACCTTTATCAACAACGACAACTGTCTTCGCTAGCATCATACTGAAGATCAGATGGCCGGAAAGAACAAGAATCACCAACAAGGAACTATGGGAACAAACAAACGAAACAAGAACCAATCGCTCAATAAATATGCAGGAGAAAGTGGAGATGGATTGGACACTCGCTGAGGAGGCCGTTGGGTGACATCGCGTGTCAGGCCATCGCTCGAGTGGAACCCGAAAGGGAAGCGGCGGGTAGTGAGTAGTCCAAGGGTGACATGTAGGAGATTGTGTGAAGAGGAGTTGAAACAGTATAGACTAACACATGGATGCAGGTGAAAAGTACAGCAGAAGACAGAAACAAGTGGAGACGTGTAGTTGAAGCCCTATGTTCCACTAGGAACCCAAGGGTACTGTGTAAGTTTGTAAAAACAAGCAAACGAAATAAACAATGATGGTACCATTGATATAAGAATAAAACTTGTGCACTGTTGTAGAGTGTAATTCCATTATGGGTAAATTTTGTTTTGATAAAGTCTCAAGTGTTATACATTAATGTTCAGTAAACATTACTGTATAACACTGTGAGACTTTATCAAAACAAAATTTACCCATATTCAAATGTTGTTTTGTAGGGATTTGATTGGTTACAGGATTTCATCATGAGCTGACATTAGCTAGAGAATCATTGGAAAACCTGCAGGGAGTACTGGACAGCTATTTCGTCCTAGTTTGGGACTCTTCATCAGTACGCACCCTACGGGATTCGAACCCAGGACCTTCTGGCTACAAGGCGAGCTCGTAGACCATTGAGCCACAGGGACCCAATCCAATGGCCAGCCAGTGCATGAATTCTAACTTCTGCCAATTCACGACATAGCGCGACTGGCACTAGCCAATGTCTTCGGCGAGTATTTGTCCTCATACCCGACCTGCTGCGCCCTACTGGTCACGACTTCTCACTAGAACCCCAGGTAACTACCTACCTGAATAGGGCAAGTCGCTAGTGAGCATCTCATTGATATTCAAGTGTTGGTTTGTAGGGATGTCGTGACCAGTAGGGTGTGTAGCAGGTGGAACGTGAGGACAAATACTCGCGCACCGAAGACATTGGCTAGGGGTCGCGCCATGTCGTGAATTAGCAGAAGTTAGAATTTTATTTTTATTTTTTATTTTGCTTACAGCTTGATTCCACACCGTATTTTCAGTACAAGTATGGAATTTTCAGCACGGATATCGGTAGCCCAAATTTTGCAGGCCGACCATAGATATCGAGAATTCATGGGCTGGTCATTGGATCGGGTCGTAGTGGCTAAATAGTATACGAGCTCGCTATCCTCGTTACCAGAAGGTCCTGGGTTCAAATCCCAGTGGGTGCGTACTGCTGAAGAGTTCCAAACTAGGACGAAACAGCTGTCCCGTACTCCCAGGTTTTCAATGGTTCTCTAACTAATGTCAGCTCATGATGAAAATCCTGTAACTAAAATTTACCCATAATGGAATGATGGTACCATTTTATTATTCTGCAAGAACCTCCACTGTTTTTCTTGCTTTATTCGAATTTGGTGTTATTCGAATTAAAAGACTGGTTTTGGGCTTCAGTTATAGGGGATAGAGAATTAATTAATCATCTTTCGAAACAGCCTAAACACCTTTTTCAGAATAAATACATCGTTACAAGCCATCAAGTCTTTCTAGGTAAATTCACACATACTACTGAAAAGAATCTAATAAGTAGACAGAAATATATACCGCACAAGTAAACTGTGTAATTAACTTAATGGAAATGCGTTTTATTTACTGAATAGAAGAGAGACAGCAGTCCTACCTGAATAAATGTCATAAACTCTTCTTGCCGAATATTTTTTCTTTGTAAATCAATGCGTAGAGCGAGCATAAGAGTGGTCATTTGCCGATCCATTTTAAACATGCCACGTACAGAAAATGCCCAGACTGAACGTGTCATATAATTGATAATATTAGCCACACGTCTTGATGTCACAGGACACGGTTCAGAGTAAGCCATAGATTTGTCAAAAAGTTTTAGAAATCTTGGCAAACCAGTTTGATACATTGGATTGACACCAGCCAATTCACTAAGTAAGAAGTATAGCAAAGAACCACGTGCAGCCACGGGACGGAATTCTTCTCTAGCCGATGTGATTTCAGCTTCCGTGTCTTGGGCTAAAGCGATTTGTTGAGCAACTTCAAGTGATGTTGTCTTAGTAACCTGTAATACATCGACAAGGCCTTGATCATCAACTAAAGAACCTTCTGTATTGGCTAATCGTTGAAGTAGACTATTTTCAAGTTCTAAAATTCTTCTACGATTGGCAGTAGTATTTTCGATTAACTGAACTCTTTGAGCTTCCAATTCCTGTAGAAAAATAAAAAATAAACAGTCAAAAAAAGGAAGCAGTGAAAAGAAAAGAAAAGAAAATTCACACTGACTCTAGATTAGGGTAAGCCTAAGTGAAATTATATCAACAGAAGACAAGTAGTTCAGCGAAGAGTCTCTTTTTGACAGCGAATTCATTTCCATAGCTGTACAATCGCAAATATTGTATGTGGTTGTTTTGTATGTGTGTGTACATGAAATTTGTCAAACGAAAATACAATCAGTAAGTTCAGATGAATTGGACCCGACCGAAAGCTGCTACCTTGACGTGGTGGTCGGGCTTGCATATCGCAATGACCCAACGAGCTACACTGGCTGGAACTTAAGTTCCTGTAGGTCCTACCATGCCAGAAAGGTTGTTTGGACAGCGGTTAGACAAAAAGCAGTTACCCAATCCAATGCCATGACTCAAACAAAAACACAAAATATCATGCCGGATCGGTCGGGGCCCGGATTAACAACGACCGCGCTTCCTGCTGCCGTGTCACAGGGCAGAAGTGATAAATACGCTACTGAGACACATCAAATAAAAAAGAACAAACAAAAACAGGCCGTGTGTGACCGGCCTCAAGCAGTTATCCCCTAGACTCTGCGGTCACGCAACCAACTTCCACGGTGTGGGCAGCCGGGAAGTAACAATCGCCCTCACAACCCGAAGTGCACACGAAACCTCTCTAATCCTCACTCACCTTTGTCTTCATCTTCATCTCTATTATCCTGCCTTCCTTCTACTAATGCAACTCCTCTACTTAATGGCTCTTCACTTCCTCTTCACTCTGTATGCACTGATTACGATGGAAGCCAAAAAGCCACCATCGATAGTCTCCGACCGAGATGAATTAAGTGTTGATATAAGAGGGTAGTAACAAAAGTGATGAATTGTCACAAACGATTGTTAAAGAAGAGTTGCGTAATAACATCAATAGTTTAATGAAAGAGTTGTACTCAGGGTGTACATGGAAACAAAATATACGGAATTATACAAGGGTTTTAAGTAGAGGTTTAGGTAGAGGTTTGATCGCGATTTCATGCTTTGTTCGATGATGATGCATAGAGTGGCAATTTGGTCAGAACACGATTTGCCTTTCCTGAATCCAGCTTGTTCTGGTCGGAGTTCTGCATCCAGTGCGTCCCTTATTCTCTCCAGGATGATGCGACTGAGAATTGTACTTGGCGTCTACAGGAGCATGATTCCTCGCCAGTTCTTGCAGAGTCCTAAGTCGCCCTTCTTTGGTAGTTTCACCAGGTAACCTTTCCTCCAGTCAGTAGGCACCTTTCCCTCTTTCCATACCTTTTGCAATAATGGAGTCAGCATATCTGCCGTCGTTTCTGGGTCCGCTTTCAGTGCTTCCGGGGGTATTCCATCTGGTCCAGCTGCTGTTCCAGCTTTCAGGAGCTTGATTGCATTCATGACTTCAGTTTTCCTTGGAGGATTGGTGTCAACTTGCAGTTGTGTACGCACTTTTGTTGGTATTTCTAGACGGGTTGCAGGTGGTGGTCGGTTCAAGAGTTCTTTGAAGTGTTCCGCCCATTGTTTAATCTGTCTTTCTTCCTTGGTAATTGGGTTCCCTTGGCTGTCTTTTATAGATGCGATGCTATGGAACATGCTTTATGCATATCTTCTTGTTGTCTGACTTAACATGAGCTGTAGATTAATTAGACTCGGAAAGAGCAAACATGTCATCACTGCATGAACACACTACTTATTTGTGATGCATCTTAGAAGCTGTTGAAATATATGTGACCAGCAAATGTGGGTTATATGGCTCAGAATAGATTGTTAATGTACATATTTATATATATATATATATATGCATATTCTGCAGACTCAGTGCTAAATTTTATCGCTTCATTTGATTTATTTTTTGTTTTTCCGCTCTATCTTACAAAAATTTACAACCTTTGACTAACTCATTTCCACCTCTCAACCCACCGATGGGCCGACTGACGTGTGACTGGTTGGACAGTTAGTCATCAGTGCCAGGTTTTATGTTACCTGTCTATGTATTGTAAACATATATATTGTACACAATGTGTTAGCTATTTACCAACTAAAGCATTTCATGCTTTATCAGATAATAAAGAGTTTCCCTTCTGCATTAGTTCATTGGAGGAGGGCGCTCTCTAGTGGTTCCGCCGCAGAATGATGTTATATGATGTTCTGGTCTCGCAAGAGTCTGGGTTAGATTGTGTTTGGTTCCCCCTGAAAACCAATGTATAATTACTCCATAATGGATAAGATTTTATTTTGATAAATCACACAGTGTTACACATTTATATTAACTGATGACCACATTTCGAGCACAAACTATTGCCACTCATAATCATATCAAGTTACTCACACAACTTTCCTTCATTTATATACATGTGTGGAATTGACTAGATATTTGAATAAAAATCAGCATAAGATAATGTACATTCAGAAATAATAATAATGATTGTGATTGATCAAATACAATTAGATGGGAAATAAGACGAATGTTCTTATAGTTATAATAAGTAATTTGTTAGAATGTTGTGATTTGCTTGAATTGAAATAGAATACAATTTAAGATTATTTATTATCCTCCTCTGATTTCACTGACTGACTGAATGACTGGTGGTAATAATATCTTCCATGCATATCTGTGGTATTTGCATTGAGTCATTTCTGTTGCATGTGTTGGGTGTAGACTCGATGAATAAAAATTCAGTTATCAATCTCTCTCTCTCTCCACCTAACTAGATTACTTCTTCTTCTCAACACCACACTGCACTACATGCATTAACACACAACCACACAATAGGGTGGGAGAGGGTTAAAATTCTAAAAAGTAATCTAGGTAGGTGGAGAGAGAGGTTGATTACTGAATCTTTGTTCATCGAATCTACACCCAACACATGCAACAGAAGTGACTCAATGCAAATACCAGAAATATGGAAGATATTATTGCCGCCAGTCAAATCAGAAGAAGATGGTAAATAGTCTTAAAATTCTATTTCCATTCAAGCACATCATAACATTCTAACAATCAACTTATTATGACTGTAAAAAACACTCGTCGTATTTCCCATCTAATTGCAATGGATTAATAACACTCGTATTATTGCCACCAGTCAAATCAGAAGAGGATAATAAATAATCTATTTCCATTCAAACACATTCTAACAATCAATTTATTATGACTATAAAAACACTCGTCGTATTTCCCATCTAATTGCAATGGATTAATAACACTCGTACTATTATTTCTGAATGTACATTATCTTATGCTGATTTTTATTCAAATATCTAGTCAATTCCACACATGTATATAAATGAAGGAAAGTTGTGTGAGTAACTTGATATGATTATGAGTGGCAATAGTTTGTGCTCGAAATGTGGTCATCAGTTAATATAAATGTGTAACACTGTGAGACTCTATCAAAATAAAAATTTACCCATAATGGAATTACACTCTACCACAGTGCCCAAGTTTTATTCTTATATCAATCAAACGTTTAAAACCAAGTATATTTACACAGAAACAGACACTGGTAAATGTCGCACTGTCTCGTCAAATCACCCTATAAAATGTAAATCCTTTCACTTCTTAATTATATAACCACTTACATCACTCAGGCATAAATCCGACCTAAACAAACTGGTTGGCTCTCACGAGGTATGCAACATAGATGGCACTGAAATAGAAACCAAATCGGAAATTAAATACCTAGGCGTCATTCTATCTGCTGATCTTTCCTGGTCGTCTCACGTCTTAGCGATTTCTAAGAAAATATTCCGTCTTACTTTCTACATCAAGAAGTTAAGACATTCTGGAATAACCCAACCCAATCCTTACTCCTACAACTCGTTAACTCTCGCATTCTGCCTATTATTCTCTATTGTTCCCCCTTAGTTTTTCCTGGGCTACAGTAGAAGGACTATATCTTATTACGTAGGGTATTAAAGGTTTTCAGGAGGGTAAGCAACATGCCACTAAACCAGCTTGTTAAAATTCTGGTCGACACGATAGGCACTTGGACTCATGTGATAAATGGGCTAAATCGATTGTATCTAACTCACACCACCCTCTTCACTCAAAACTCTCCCCTTGCATCTCATCAGGCAGAACGGGAAGCCTATATAGAAAACTATATGCTCGTACCAGCAATTGTTACTATTATTATTCTCACTTTTAATTGTCACCGGTATCATTTCACTTGTTCCACTTGTCATTCTAAATCAATTCCTTTATGCAACGTTAAATTCTATGCTATCAAATTTCACACAATATTACGTAACTTTTTATTTTATTCGATTTGCCTACTAATCTTATAATTGCACACCTTTTTCAAGTTCTATCCATCCTATGAATTATTCTATATATGACATTAATTTGCTTTGCCACTTGACATTTAACTACGATTATAATCACAAACATTTTAGTTTTAATTGCATTTCATATTATTATTATTTTATGCATTCACACCTATGTTTCAATTCCCTCACCGGATATAACTTCTTGAAGAAAACCATTTGTACATACGATTGTACAGCTTGATGATAAATTCGTTGAAAAGAGTCTCTTCGCTGAATCATTTGTTTTGATTTTCTATATGTTACAATGGGAATTTTCCATGAATTATAATTACGATTGCACAGCAGCTCATGAAAATGAATGAATTGTCGAAAAGAAAATTTTCTTCTTCACTGTTTGTGTCTTTTTCTTATAAATCGATAGAAGTGAAAAATCGAAAAAAAACCTCAAAAAAAAGAAAAAGGGTCTACCTCTTTTTCCGTCTGAATAACACGTGCCAACAGTTGGTCTTCTAAACCCTGTGATGTTACAGTAAAGTCGATAATTGAAGTACGCGCCGATATCTCCGGTGGATATTGTGGATTTGGCAGTTTTGTAGTAATGTACAATGTAAATCCCTTGAGTAGGTCAACTTCTTTATCACCAACTTTAACTTTCAATCCAGTACCAGATTTGAGAAAGTTTTTTTCTAAAACTTCGTCTAAGGATGGATCTAAATCTTCGCCAACATCTTCAATCAATAATGGTCTTCCTTGTGATAGAGCATCTTCCAAATGTGTACGAAAGTATTTGTGATTCAGTTTGGTGATCTGGTGTTTTGTTCAAAAAATATCAAGCAAAGTATAATTATAGTTATGAGAAAGAAATAAAGGGAAAACTTTAAATGAAAAAAATTTCTGTATTCGTGCTGAGATTTCGTCGGAGATCAACCCGTTGGCACTGGCTGATGGTACTTCCCAAGTAAGTGAAGTGGTCAACGTGCTCTACCACTTCACTTCCTATTTCTAATCTAGTGGTCATGTAGTCCAATCCTGCAGCATCATCTTACATTTTACAGGGGCGAATCGCATGCCAAACATGTGAAGATTGTTGCTCAAGGTGTTCAGTAGACTCTGCATTGTGTCAGCCTCCTCGCCTAGAAGGACTATATCGTCTGTATATTCTAAGTCAACGAGATTATTCCCTGGTAGCAAGTCCATCCCTGAGTCGTTGAAGTGTGTTAGGGTTAAGTCCATTAGTACGTCTATGATGGAGTTGAATAGGAATGGGGATAATGGGCATCCTTGACGGACGCCACTAGTCGTCACCACTTCAGATGATAACTCGCCATAAGCCTTCACCTGGCTGCATGAGTACGAGTAGAGTGCCTTAATCAGTGCTATGTATTTTCTCGGCATTCCCTTTACAGCCAAGTATTGCCAGATAACCGCTCGGTCGACAGAATCGAATGTCGCCTTTAGGTCAAGAAATATAATGATTGTTGGACGCCGTTAGGAATGCCTATGTTCTAGAATCTGTCGAAGGGTGAAGATATGATTTGTTTTTCAAGTGTAATCAAGGAGGGATTACTGAACAGCTGTTTCTGTCGTCCTAGTTTGGGATGCATCGACACTACGCACCTACCATAGGAGTCCGAACCTGGGACCTTCCGGTTACAAGTCAAGCTGGTAGACCGCGATAACTGTTACACATTTGATGTGTGTACCATGACAAAACGGTATCCCCGTTTTGAAAGGAGCTCAATCTCAGTGGAAAATTAATGTTTAATGGCTGACAAAACCTGAACACGGATACAGAAGGCTCATTTTGACATATACCAGTTTACGCCGTCTCTGGCTTAGTAGACGTGATATCCGGCTGACTGGCTGTCGACCCAAAGACTTATGTTCTGTTCAGCAGTCCGCTCCGTCCTCCTTTATGACTGGCTGGCTGTGAGACCTGGTCATTGAGAGTGGAAGAGATGAAAAGCCTGGCTGGTTAACTGTCTTTGATGATAGGTGCCTGCATTCTATCTCCTGTGTAAAGTGTTATAATAGGGTGAGCAATATTGAGGTTAGGCATCGGTCAAGTGCTAGGTAAGCAGGAGGGGAAATCAGTCGACGAGGTTGTGAAGTTAAGTGAGTTGAGATGCATAGGGCAAGTGTTACGCATGCCTAGTCATCGCCTTCCTCGACCGACAGGCAATGTTAGCTGACTGACATAGGATGGATCAGGTTGGAAAAGAGTTAGCCAGTGGTGCTCAAACCAAAACATGGCTTCATCAGTCAATGAAATCCACAACAATTAGTTTAAGCCAGCCACGTAAGGAGGTGCAGATTTCTTGATTGGTTGGGGTCCTCGGAACGGTAAACACTAACGTCTAGAGACAATTGGTGATATGACTAGCTCAAAGTGATCGTTCTCAACGGATGGCGCAGATGCATCCACTCCTTGTGATTTATAATACCCATGTTAAGTGATCCACAACAGATAGCTCAGAGAAGCATCTGAATTGGAAATAGAAGTAAGGCAAAGTCGCCTGCTATCATCTATGGCATTTCTGATTGTGGTGAACGGGACTAAGCTGAACACTGCGCATGGAGAGCAAGAAGACAGGCATACGTTGGACCGACAAGAAGACTTTAGACGATCTGGTCTCCACAGATCACTTATGTGTAGTGTCACAAGAACTCGAAGACTTACAGGCGGAAATCAACCGGTTGGTAGGAGAGTTAGACGGCAGAGACAAGTGATCACAAAAAAGACTGAGGTGGTGAAAATAACCAACCAACAGAAACAAGCATCAATCACTATCAATGGATTAAATTTGAAAGAGGTTGCTTCCTTCACTTATCTAGGAAGCATCCTTTCAACTGCAGGCTACACGGATAAGGATGTCAGTAGAGAAATCTTCTGCACTCAGTATCTGGGGAACAAGATTTGGATTTCCAACGCCAATGTTAAGTCAGCCACCTCTTCTATATGCATCAGGGACTTGACACGTGCTTCACGAAAAGCATATCCAACAGGCTACTGTCGACCTTTCTCAAGAGTTTTTTTTCACTCCATACTGAAGATCGGATGGCCGGCGAGATAGGATAAGCAACTAGAAACTCTGGGGATGAACTACTTAGGAACCTGTTGCTCGAAGGATATACGGAACGAAGTGGAGATGAACTGGACACACACTGAGGAGACATTTGGATGGCTTCTCGTCCACCAGGCCCTAGAGTGGAACCCTAATGGGAAACGACTCGTACAGCGTTCGAAGGTGGCAGCCTATTGTGGGGCCAGGGAAAGAGGACCACATAGAACTAGACGAAGTGGAGATGTGTTGTTGAAGCCCATGTTCGACTCAGAACCCAAAGGAATAATGATAATAATATAACAATGTACAGATCTGGCTGTGGATTAAGAAGTCAGTTTTCTACACCATTACCCTTATTACGAGGTTAACCTCAACAGCTTTAAATGACACAGAAACTGCGTGTCTGAAATTCCTCATAAAGAGTACTTATCGGTTTTTTACTCATTCCGCTAGGTCACATTTATATCTGTATATCGATTAATAATAAGTGAAATTCACTATTTGTCGATATCAACCAATGTCGACTTTCCAGTGTGCTTGACATCATTCGTCAACAACATTCAATGGTCAAAAGAAGTTTTGCCTCCAACTTGCTTTCATAAAAATCTTGGAATTCTGCAAAAAGACATATCTGCAACCCCCCATCAGAGCAAATTTCTTCGGAACTACAACTGCATTTCTGTTTTGCAACCGGTTGGTCGGTCGGTTTTCGACATAGAACTTCGCACATATGTGCGCCAGTTCAAGTCGCCACACTCCCTCCTTGTAGCTCACAAAACAAGAGAAGAAAGTAGAAGAAATGCATGATATAGTCAGTAAACAGAGGTGTGAGACAAGGGAATAGTAATAACGGAGAACATAACAGTTTAATTGGAAATCATAAGTCACAAGGAGCGGATGCATCTGCGCTACTGAGAACGATTTTGAGGCATGTCACCAATTGTTTCCAGCCATTGGTTTTTACCGTTCTGAGGACCTCAACCAGGAAGTCTATATCTTCCTACGTGGCTAGCCTAAACTAACTGTTGTAGATTTCATTGACTAGTGCCATATTTTCGTTTGACCGCCGCTAGCTCTTTTCCAGCCTGACCCTATATCAGCTAACATTGCCCGTCGAGGAAGGCGATGACCAGGCATATATGCGTAACACATGTCCTAACCATCTCAGTCGATGTAATTTCACAGTCTGGTCGATTGATTTCCCCGCCTTACCTAGCACTCGACGCCTAACCTCAATATTGCTCACCTTATCATACCACTTAACGCGGAAGATAGAATGCAGACAATGAACTTTACTGAAAATTTAAACTCGTTTACAAAACTTCATTATCAGTGGCGTTAATTTTGTATAACACGGAAGTGAAATTAGGCCTGTTAGGCCTGACACTTCCAAAATGAATGATGAGATGGATGACATAACAAGAACAATATTAATAGACGGTCTAATGTTTTTAATTAGCGTGGAAGTATGCGTTTGCTAATGCAGTGTAAGTATACGCTGCCACCAATCACTAGTTCATTTGAAGGTGCAGAACTCAGAGAAGAGTTCTCCGTTTTCATTCATTTCTCTGAGAGCTTTTCTACCCATGATGAGTTCCCTTCCTGTGTTGTCTGGTCCCAGTTTGGCGCTCATGTCTCACATTAGTATTTTAATGTCACCAACTGGAGTATTGTCCATTGTTGCTTGCAGTTGTCTGTAGAATTTTTCTTTCTTTTCGAGGTCTGTGTTGTTTGTGTGTGCATAGCATTTTATAACTGTCACTCTAATTCCTTTTGAGTTGAACAGAGCTTGCAATGGCAGTCAGCTTCCTACCTCACTCAACTTCATCGAATATGAAAAGGCCTTCGATAGTGCAGTGTCAATCGAGAGGTGATTTGGCAACTACTTCGCTAGTACCAAGGGGTGCCGCCAACAATTATACACCTCAGCCATCAAACAGTTGTACGACAATGCTGCATAACAAGTAATCCAAAACGGGAAACTCAGAGAATCCTTTGAAGTGGAGACAGCAGTAAGACAAGGCTGGCTGGCTGCCCACTATCTTCAATGATTTTCCTGATTGCAGTAGATTGGATAATGCGACAAACAGCGGGAAATGAGGAAACAGGCATAAAATGGACCCACAAAAAAACTCGGAGGACCGGCGTCTGGATTTCACCGATGATATATGTCTGTCTGATTTCCCACAAACTGGAAGATATGCAAGTGAAAAGCAACAAGTTGGCAGAAGAAGCATTCAGAGAAGATAGGACTTCAGGTGAACATAGAGAAAACAGCTGTGGTTATGAAGTTTTCTGGCCAACACCAACAACACAGCCACAACAACAACAGACAACAGTCAGCCAGCATAAATGGGAGAAATGTGAAAGAAGCAACCTCCTTCACCTAAACCTACTTACCTACCTACCGAACTGGGGAGCATCGTTTCAATTACAGGCGGACGGAACTGACGAGGATATCAAAGCAGAGAATCGGAAAAGCAAGACAAGCTTTCACTGCTCTCAAGTCTGTGTGGAGGTCAACAGCACTCAGCATCAAAAATAAGATCCGGATTTTCAACTCCAATGTGAGGTCAGTCAGTGCTACTCGCCATAGGGATCAGAGACTTGGCTCTACGCTGCATCATGAAAGACACTTCGAACAAACTACAGACCTTCATCAATAGCTGTCTTCGCTCACTACTTCGCTGATTGAAGATCAGATGGCCGGCTGGTCGACCAGAAAACATCAGCAACAGGGTTGGATCTCTGGCAATGAGCGAACCAACCAACCAACACAGCAGGGACCGATTATGCAACAAATCTGCAGGAGGAAATGGAGGTGGATTGGATTGCGACCATACTGTGAGAAAGCGAACCACCAAGTGAGTGACATCACACGACAGGCCATCGGTGGAGTGGAACCCGAACTGGAAGCGGCGAATTAGTTGATCATCAGTGTGAGGGTGACATGGAGGAGGAAGAGGTGATGTGAAAAGGAGATGAAATTGTGTGGGCAGACGTGGAGCCATGTGAAAACGTTAGCAGAGAACCGAACGGAATGGAGGCGTGCGGCTGAAACCCTATGTTCCTCTAGGAACTGAAAGAAACAATAATAATAATGTAGTGTAATTATGTCTATAGGCAAATAGTAAGCCAGTTAACGTCGCCTTCTTCTCGCCTAGTTTACAAACTGACAGTAAGCTCGGAATAACATCACAGCTACTGAAACTCCGAAGCCTGAAGCTTCATGGGAACGCAGAGAAATCGACATAACAAAACAAAACAAAGCAAAACAAGCAAACAGTATTCTATTAGTTACCATAAGATTATTCGCTGCTTCATGCCGTTTAATCCAATTTTTGCCTTGTGATTGTGGATCAACCAGTAGTGGGTATCTCGAGGCAGATGTGACTATGATGGCATTTTGTATGGACAGATCATCACTGGGTAAGCCTTCTAGATTCCATTCACTGACCTATATATACATATATAGTATGAAAAAATAAAATGAAACGATAATATATACAATAACTTTATTCTGGACAATATTCTTGTGCAAACGTTGAAAAATAATTAACACCTTAATGAACAATTTTCTTCAAATAGAGATAGAACTAGCTAAATGTAATATAGCAGTGATAACATCTCAGTATCAGTGTATTGCTCAGTAGTAGTGTAACAACAGAAGACAAGGGCAGTCAGGCAACAGATCGTTTATTAAGGAAATCAACACATATTATTTATCGATTTTCATGTACATTATTATTGATCAATGTTAGCAGACAAACACAGTCTTCTGATTGGTTGTTTCTCTTTGTGACTGTTTCTTCAAGGTCAAATCATCTATCTATCTGCTAATTTTATCCGCCTACGCAAAGAAAGTGTACTGTGATTGGTTGTTAGTTGAGTCAGTCTTTGTTCTTGTTTTCTCATGACCAATATTTGGGACGTACACATTGACGTAAATTACTGTCTACCAATTTTCGACTAGCTAGCAGCCTGCCATCACCACAGTAGTGTTAACTTTTAAGTAGGGTTTCTAGAAAATCTAAAGATAATCCCTATGTGGTAGACTTCACCAGGTCGTGTGTATGTGTGCGCATAGCATGTGCGAGGGAGAGATACTGGCTGATGACAGAAGTTGGGATGACTTTTACTATCAAGAACTAAAAATAGTAACGCGTTGGCCTTTTAACCCAATGAAAAGTTCAGAAACAAGCTGAAACAGCTGTCCTGTGATTTAAGTACCCATACTCTTCTATAGATGACGACAGTTCGCGAGGATTGACAACTCTCAGAGAGACAAAAAGAAATGGAAAATGTTAAATGAGCTATTTTTGCTCAGAAGAGATAACTGAAAATGAACTAAAGATTGTACATGACATCCTTATTGAAAATAGTTATCCAGACAAATTCACCAAGAAACACATGACAAAAAAGGCAGAAAAAGAATTATTCTCCATCTGTAAATAAGAAGCCTTCATATTATATACGACTGCAATTCAGGTGTGTGAAATAACTACTAACACGTTAAGAAAATCAGTTCAAAGAACTTTTAATGCTGACAAACTACATGTCTTATTTTCTACACTATCGATGATGATTCCTCAGTTGAAATACGAGTTATCTAGACTAGCCGCTTCCAGTTGTATCTTCCATTTCGATTGCGCTTGTGGTGGAACGAGTTATATCGGCCATTGTTGCTCTAGGAACTTGAATTTTTGTGCTCACACGGGAATATCTACCGGTGTGTGGTGTGGCTAAATAAAGGTGTAGCAAAAACCATCAGCTAACTGTTTGATATTAAAAACAACCTGGTCCAAAGGCACCAGCCACAAAGCCAGCAAGCATTGAAGAACCCCTTATGTATCACCTATCGGGTACTAAAACAAATTGCTGTAAGCATCCAGGTATCGCATACTCCAAACAGCAAAGGCTATCGCGATCGGCCTAAAACAACCAGTGCTCTGTGTGCAGAAGAAGCAAGTCCAGACAGCCACCACTGCTACTACTACTACTACCTTGGCCGGCCTTCAGTGGAGACTATAAATTCATGAATTCTTTTTTCAATATCTTTTCTAATTTTTCTGGTATTCAGTGTATTGTTTTGTTGAACTGTAATCCACTGATATTATTTTCATTGATTCGATGTTATCTAAACAACGCCATTATTGTTGTTCATAACACTAATTCATTCATTCACTCGTTCACTATTATGGATGCACAGAACTGCAGAACATGATGAAGAACAGGTTATCGAAAATGTGAATATTCTTTGTTCAGTAACCATTCTTTTTTTGAAAAAATTTCTTTTGTGAAGAATATGGAGCCAGCAGTGTATGCAACTGCAAAGACATCGGATCCATCAGCTAATTGCACTTCATACCTCGCTTTAATTATCATAACGAAATCTAAGAATATGTAAATATATATATATATATACATATTGGGATGTCGGTAGCAAAGCCAAAGCTGAACAGTGTTTGAAGGTGTTAGAAAAGTAGGTGCTGTCATATTTACTGGCGTAAGCGGAAGAAAGAAACAAAGCAGCACATAACGGAAAAAGAAAGAGAGAGAGAATAGGAAAAGAAAGAAAAAAAATGTTGTACCTGTAAATGATATGAGTTGGAAGGACGAGGTCCAGTTATTCTACTGACTACTTAATGAATTATAGGTGTCACGCCTAGTGCTTTCTTTATCGCACAGAACACGAGCTAAGTAGGGTATGGTTGAGTTTTTGTACTTGCTGGTGTGAGAATATAGTTTTCTATATAGGCTTCTGGTTTTACCTGATGAGATGCAAGGGGAGAGTTGTGAATGAAGCGCGGGTTGTGAGTTAGATAAAATGGATTTAGCCCATTTTTCATGTGCGTGCATGTCGACCAGAATATTAACAAGCTGGTTAAGTGGCATGTTGCTTACCCTGCTGACAACCCTTAACATCCTGCGTAATACGTTATTGTCTTTCTTCGGTAGCCCAGGAAAAACTAAGGGGGAACAATAGAGAATAATAGGCAGAATGCGAGAGTTAACGAGTTGTAGGAGTAAGGATTGGGTTGGGTTATTCCAGAATGTCTTAACTTCTTGATGTAGAAGGTAAGACGGAATATTTTCTTAGAAATCGCTAAGATATGAGACGACCAGGGGAAATCAGCAGATAGAATGACGCCTAGGTATTTAATTTCCGACTTGGTTTATATTTCAGTGCCGTCTATGTTGCATACCTCGTGAGAGCCAACCAGTTTCTTTAGGTCGGATTTATGCGTCTAAAGGTGAAATTGACTGTTTGGCATTTGGAGGGGTTTAAAGTAAAACCGTTTTCCTTGGACCACTGGCTGATTTCTGACAGAAAGCCATTAAGTTTAGAGCAGTCGCTTTGACATTTGACAGGCAAAGATACTGTCAGGTGGTCAACATATTTGACAAAATTAATGTCATTCGAAGATGGGAAGTCATGAAGAAAGAAAGGAAGAAAAGAGAAGTGGGGAGAGTACAGCACCTTGGGGGACACCAGCTTCAGTGAGCACAGCAGAGGAGGATTTACCTTTGTATACGGTGTACTGCTTTCTGTTAGAGAAGTAGGAATGCAGCCAGTTAGTGACCCACGACTCAATTTTTGTTATAGAGAGCTTATTTGGTAAGAGACATCTAGGTACAGAGTCAAAAGCAAAAGTGAAGTCGAGAAATGTGCAGCAGACGTATTTGGCACCTTCATCTAATGATTGTAAATATTGTAAAAGCAGAAGGCAAAACACGGAAGCCAAAGTATATTTTTCATTTAACCAAACCTCTGTTTATATAAATATACAGTTTATATTGTTTAATCGATCACTGAGCGTGTGATTTTGGTTTACATTAAACTACATGAAATAGAATGTTCTAATATACATGCATAGCATTCTGTTACTAATGCACTATTGAACTGTGGGAATAGTATTCAGACGTTAACACCACCATATATAGTGATTCTCACTCTGTGAGAATAATATTATGTTGGAACCCATTGTCTGTGTCACACCACCACCCCCACAATATATGCTGTCAAAAGTTGTAGCCTGACATGAAACACCAGTAAATAGAGTGTGAAATATGACAAGAATCCGATGGTGTGGATTCACGATAAACATACCTATAATGCCTACATTATTCGGGTTAATAGAAAGATTATTATTATTTTGGATTCTAGCCTGTAAAATGTTGAGGTAAATCGCATTCGCACGTATAATTCTGTTTAAGATAAAGTTAAATAGAAATGGTGGTAGTTAGCGCTATTGGTAATTTTCACTGTGAAAGACGATATAGTCCTCCTAGGTGAGGACGCTGACAAAATGCAGAGTCTTCTGAACACCTTGAGGAGCTGCAATCTACGTATGTTTGACATGCGATTCACTCCCGCCAAATGTAAGATGATGTTACAGGATTGGACTACACCGACTCCTAGATTAGAAACAGGAAGTGAAGTGGTAGAGCACGTTGACCACTTCACTTACTTGAGAAGTACCATCACAGCCAGTGCCAACGGGTTGATCTCTGACGAAATCTCAGCTGAGTACGAATACAGAGGGCTAGTTTCGCATATGCCAGTTTACGCCGTCTCTGGAGTAAACGTGATATCCGGTTGGCTGTCAACCAAAGGGCGTGTGTACTGCTCAACAGTCCACTCCGTCCTCCTTTATGGCTGGCTGGCTGTGAGACCTGACCATTGAGAGTGGAAGACATGAAAAGATTAGCTGTGTTTGATCCTAGGTGTCTGCGTTCTATCTCCCGTGTGAGGCGGTATAATAAGGTGAGCAATATTGAGGTTAGGCACCGGTCGAGTGCTAGGTAAGGCGGGGAAATCATCGACGAGACTGTGAAATTGCATCGACTGAGATGGTTAGGACATGTGTTACGCATGTATGCCTAGTTTTGTTCTTCGTTATTACTATTCCTCTGTTTACTGTCTTTACTATGAATTTCTCCTACTTTCTTCTGTTGCTTTGTGTGCTACATGGAGTGGAGGGAGTGTGGCGACTTGAACTGCCACACATATGTGCAAAGTTCCATATCGAAAACAGGCAGACAGGCAGACAGATGATTCGTTATAAGCTTACTTAAGACCACTTCAGAACACGGGAACAGAACTTAGTAGCACTTGACTGAAATGTAAACAGGCTCTTTAGCTTTTTGTTAGTACGACAAGCCCCATCCAAAAGTCGAGTGAAGAAACCTAGAGACTATAAACCATATGAACCACCTCTCGAAAGTTCATATGTAACTGTGATAAAAATGACTTTGCAATTATACTAACACTTGGTCGTTTAAATATTCTGTTTTCAATTAGATCTTCTTCAGGCTTTACTCTAATTTACATAGATTTATTTATAAAACAGTTTAACCAATGGGAATCAAATAATAATAATAATAATAATAATAATAATAATAATAATAATAATGTGGTAAATGTTTTGAACGAAATTAATAACGATGATTATA